GGTCACTGAAGCAGCGCTGCTAGCAGCTGTTCTCTTCCCGCCACTGTTTTCATCCCATTGCTTCCTCTTCTCCAGTTTTTTGGAAATTTGTGACCAGGTTCATCCTACTTGCGCATTTTGACTCTCCTTGTGTGCTGTGGGCCCTGGAATAGAGATTTCTCAAAAAGTTTGTTTCATCTTTTTGTGTTTGAGTTATTTTTAATATTTTCATGTAAATATTTTGTAATATTTTACTTCTAGTGAAATGGATTGCAATGTCATTTCCTAATTCAAAGTAAGATATGGGAAGAGAAAATGTACAATTCTTTGATTAAAATTATTTCCCACTGACCTAAACTTTGTTTCATGGAAAAATAGTAAATGTTCTACACCAGTGCATAAAAACAAAACAAAACAAAACAAAACAAAACAAACAAACAAAAAAAAAAACCATCATATTAATGTCAGAGGCTATGTCCAGAGTTCTTATGTGGAAAAAAAAAACCTGATAAATTTAATTTTTGCTACCCAAAACAACCACTTTTAATCTCCTACTTCTTTAAATTACTGGGCAAAGTGTATTGCAAGTTCTAACTAAAGAGCATTTCTCTAATCTGGAGGGAAGAGTAGCTGGAAGAAAAAGAGTTTGGTCTGAAAGTGACAACCCAGACCAATAAAATCAAAGCAGACAAGGCCAGAGATGATTATCCAAATAAATCTCAAAACTACTCCTTTATTATCATAGGTTATAAGCCTTATTAATGTTCTACTCAGCAAATAAGAGTCTGAGAACTGTGATTATATAATATGTATTTCCCTCCCCACCAGAACCAGGGATTGAACTCAGACCTTTGCACTTGCCAGGGAAGTGCTTATTCTACTGAGCCATCTCCCCAGCCCCAAACTGTGATTATATTAATTTGCTATTAAACACTCCCACTATTTAAAAATGTCCAGAACTCATTTTTCATAGTTACAAATGATGTATTTTTCAAGCTAATTAATTTATGCTTTTGCTTCTATTTTTCTAGTATTTGCAAAGGCATCATTACTGTCAAGGTATGACCATTTTTACACTTTCTGAATCCTTGAAATAATATCTAACAAGCAAGTTAATGATTATACTGCCAGAAAGCACAATAGTTTTTTCAAGCATTCACATACCAGTTTTGCTGGCAAATTGGACATGCTAACTTTAGGGACAGTCATTTCTTTTCTAAGTCAATGGCACTGCATAAAAATCCACAGACAATTAATTCTACCTATTCAAAAGAAACTTCATAACTATGATATCCACATAAACACTTTTAGTTCTAAACTCCACAGTTAACTCTTCCCCAAGTTTGGTAGTTTAATGCTGCAATGTAAATATTTATCAGTTATGATATCTGTATATCACAAAGAATATTTTTGTAATTTCAGAGCAGAATTCCTTAGGATTGTCAAAGCTGGAGCTAGATAGAATACCAAGTACAAGTAGGTTCCAGGTCAATTATAGTAATGGAATGGAATTTAATAAAGTTCCAATGATACATTTTAGTGCCCTAATTTCTTGTCATCTTTTTTGGTTGACAAATATGTGCTGTGCAGCACAATAGCAGCAGAACAGCTGGGTGGCTTTATGAAGCACAAAGGAAACAACAGCACATGCTGTTAAGTGTTTCTCTGACTGCCTAGAAATGGCAGCACACACAGATTTATTCCCTGCTATAAATTAGAACAATTATTTCTCTGGAATCGCAATTTATTCATAATAAGTTGAACTTTTTACAAATTAAAAAAAGCATATTTTCAAAAAGGATATCTTCCCTTTCTCTGATGATCAGCTCATTCTGCTCTTCCAACTGTCTGATCTTCTTCTCAAATGACTCCTGTTCAGCTTTCAGTCGCTCTTCTGTCACTTCCTTTTCTTCACTTACTCTAAAAGAAATATTAAAATGAAAGATAGGAGAAAAAGGCCCATCAGGATAAAAATATGTAGCCTATGGCTACAATTCATCAAAGTTAAACTTCTTCCAAAGATGTGCTGAAATTTCTTCAAGGAGATGCTGTGTTTTCTTGTTTCGTGGGGCCTTTATACATAGTTACATACTCAATCCTTTTATTTATTTTTTTTTTCTTTTCAAAGTTTTATTGATAAACATATAGCAATGAGACATTTTCAAATCAAATCGAAAGTACAGTTTCAACAAATAATACACTGCATATATTCTTCTCAGTGGTTAATTGCTGTACAAGATGCAGACTTGTGATCCTACTTACAAACACCATTAGAAAAAATCATTCTATTCA